TCTCCTTATTTGTTATCTCTCCCTCAACTTCATAATGTGATTCAAAGTGAGCCCCACCACTGAGTTTGAGACCTGAATCATATCTAAATGCAACTTTTCCTCCTTCGTCAATGCCTCACTCCCACCTCCCTCCTCAGCTTCTTCTTCATCACAGATGGTCAGAACCTGAGTTAGGTCCTTACACACATGCTCTGGCGTGTTCATCTCATCACATCTAAAATATAACCCTTTGTCCTCTTATCCTGCATCTCCGCTTCTATGAGTCTTTTGAAGTCCCCACCCTCCTGGGCAAACTCCACCGTTCTTCTTACTATGCACTTTCTCACTGGAATGATATTGTTTGAGTTCTATGAGTTAGAGTTGTGGGGGTACTCCGATAGGCCCTATGTTGCACCGATACACCTATTTATAAAGGCGTACTGTATCTGATACACCGATACATAAATACGCCTTTGATACTCCACCAATACGTGTTGGATACGCCAAAGACGTATACAATTAAAATATTATTTAATTTCAAAAGGACACGCGTATCTGATACACGTGTCCGTTGAAAAACAAAAAGAAATCCGAAAAAAAAAAAAAAAAAAAAAATGGGTGGATTTTCTTTCCGCGGCTGCGGGCAAAGTTTTTTTACTTCCGCGGCTGCGAGCAAAGTTTTCTCATTTCCGAGATGGATTTGAGTCTCTTGATGATATGAGAATATTAGAAATTACTAATCTTTCACTTGATGAGCCTGAATTAAAAGCTATGATATTTATTGAAGATTGATATAGAAGTTCAAAGACAAACCACTGAAGAAGCTAATCATATCACTCCTTCTATTGAATAACAACAACAACATCAAGCCTTTATCCCACTACGTGGGGTCGGCATTCCTTCTATTGAATAGTTGAAACTTTATGTGCTAGACAATTTATGTTTATGCTTTTGTTGTTGTACTAGACATTTAATGCTTACTTATATTTTGATATTATAAGCTACATGGCTACAAATGATGTTGTTGTCTTCTTTTTTTTTTGTAATTTCAAAATTATACTTTGATTGCTTACTTAATTTTTATGTATGATTTATAAATTATGATGTCGTGTCCACGTCGTACATGTATCCTATATTTTTAAGAATTGACGTGTCCCGTATATGTATCGTGTCATATTTGTATCGTGTCGTATCCGTGTTGCCGTATCCGTATCGGTGCAACATAGGATAGGCCCCTCCCATGTCCCATGATGGTCTTCTCTCTCTTACATTTTTCCTCCACCCTCTGAGCCAGCTCCATCTTTTCTCTCAGCCCCCTAGGTCTTAATACCCTGAGTTCTGCCCGTATGTCCTCCCTAAGCCCCTTCATGAAATTTTCCTCCAATCTTTCCGCAGAGATCCCCCTCAGTGTCCCTAATAGCAGCTCAAACTTCTCCCAGTACTACATAAATATCCCCTCCTGAGTTAGGGCAAAGAATTGCTTGTGAAGGTCCCCTTCTTGAATGGCTCGAAAACTTTCTAACAAGCACTCAGATTTTCCCCATGCATAGATTGGATACCTTGCCTCCCTCTATTAGAACTAGGTTAGGGCTTTCCCTTCAAAGCATAGACCTGCCTCCATGAATTTCTCCCCTTCAGTCAGCCCATTGATGGCAAAATAATGTTCCACCCGGTACAACCAACCTTGAGCATCCTTTCCATTCAAAGACCAGCATCTTTAGCTTATTTTCCCTCCCATCCATACCCCATTGGTTTCTTCCCCCATTTTTTCCCTAGTGTACTGGTGGTGTGTTTCTATTACTTCCTCCTTTGGTTGATTTTGACCTCATGGCTTCCCCCAATCATGCCCTTCTCCATTTCGCCTCTCCTCATGCCCGGATAATCTACCAAAAGGATTAGCTTCCCTCCTCTTTGATGTCCTCCATTTGGAATAACCCGATCAGCCCACCAACGGGGCTCCTCGTGGTTGTCCTTGATGGAAAACACTTTACAATTAATCGACATCCTTCTGAACCTCCTTCCCTCATGGTTACACTCTAGGAATCATCGGTGATACTTTCAATTGCATGTCAAGCATCTTTTTCATCATATTTTTAAAGTTCCCAAAGCAGTTCTTGATGGCGGATAGTCTTCCCTCCACCCCATAATACTTTTCCTCCATCGAGCCTTCAGTTGTTCCATCTCTCCCTCCAACGCATCCATCTTTTTTGCTGCCATTAATTGGATCTAAGTTCCAATCGCAAAAAAACAGTGAAGAAAACTTATTTTTCCGCCCAAGAAAATGCTTTGATACCAATTTGATAGAAAAAAGTGCAAAAAACACCAAAATAGTTGATGAAATTTGAGATTTCAGCAAGAACAAAGCAAGAATTTGCATAAATTCCTTGGCAAATCAATAGGATATCTTAATAATATTTGAAAAGAAGAAGAAAACAAGCTAGATATAATGGATCTTCAATTCGAGAGAAAGATTCGGCTCTCCCAAATTCCTAGCCGATGGCTAGAGCCCAAGCAAACCTCAAGAACTCCTAAATTCAGCAAACATTCAACCTTACCCTAACCCTAGGATGAGAATAACTATTAAAAGCAAATAATTTAAAGGCAAAAGTCCAAAAAGCCCTTCAGATTCAAATCTACCGCTATATGCCCCTCTCTCTCTCTCTCTCTCTCTCTCTCTCTCTTAATGTGTGACCCCATCCCAAAGGGGAAGGAATCTGTATGGTGCCACCTAGGCTTCTGCCTGATGTAGAATTAAGCTGGTCCCTTCTGCATCGCCCGAAGCGGCCCCTCCTAGAGCGGTCTAACACTCCCCTAACTAAATAAACTAGGGTTCTTGATAAAAACATAGCGTGAATTATCATCCCCCACAACATATGAATTGCCTGCACCAAAAGAGCTATTACAACGATACATTTGAGAATCATTACGGCAATGCACTTTAGAATATTTCTAGCCTTAAGTGAAATTGTTCTTCATCGGGAGATATAAATCTTGGCTGCTTGTACCATTGGAAAATCATATAATTAAGAAAATAAATTCCTTCCAATAGGGAGAAATTTCTAGGCAATGTCATTTCCACTGCTCAAAGCTACCTCCTGAAAATGTTCAATGTCCTATCTCTAAAAGGAGTGAGCAATGCTTTTAGAGCTCACAATCATGTGTTTAATTAGCTCATTATCATGAAGTTGATCTTATATGTATTAGCAAATTTAACTAATTCTAAAATTTCCATTACATGCATTAAATTTGTTTTATTTACGTAATTACAATAATTATACCATTAGTATCTTAATTAAAAAATAAACTTAATTATAATATCTTCAATATAGATTAATCAAGTACAATTTCATGTTGGTGAATTTCCTTAACTCTACGAGCTTTATACATTTCATAAAATTTGTCAAAATATTTTAAACAACATTAATTAAGTATTAAATATATAGTTATGCTATATTTTATTAATTAAATTTTCTTTTAATTGAATTCGTTAGGGTGCTCACATATGAAATCATATGTAAAATGTTAAATTATTTATATTTATTTAGTTATACTTAAATTAATAATTTCAATGTGACTACCAAAACAATCACTCAACTGGATGACAAGAAGTATGCCAGACCATAAACACCAAAGCGGCTACAGTGTTATCATATCAAGATCCCAGCATGCAACGATGGTCCCAACAGCTACTAGGGTGACAAGCCATTGGGAATCTTTTGGCCAACCGTTGGAGGTTTTTTTAATAGATTTTTTAGAATTATTACAAGGCATATTATAAGAGATATTTAGCTATATATATATGTGTGTGTAAGGGTGGGGGCGAGGGGATATTTTGAGTTATTTTTAAGTGAATGAAAAATCATTTTATAGATCTGAAAAGCTAGATCATTTTGAGAGAAAATTCAAGGAGACAAATCAAATGCTCATCAATCAAAGCTTTCCTTTAGGCTTCCATTTTGATAAAATCTTTCCATTCAATTTCTCGGTATTTTGTAAGGAATTTTTATTTGTATATCTTTATATTTCTTGTAATAGAAATTGCAAACTTTAGTATCTGATTTTCTTGATTCAACACCGAGTTCAAAAAAGCTTTGAATTACATTTTAATTGATTAAACATAGGATTTAAGCCAAGTGAAACTTGGTGGAGCTTTGCAAAGCTCAGTTAGTAGGTTGCGCTTGTTGTTGAACAAGTAGCTGAAGTTTTTGACCTTTAAACAAAAGTTAGTGTAAATATTTATTCGTCTGCTCAATGAAGTGAAAGAATTGGACTTGTATTTCAAGTCCGATACAGTAGAACCTGATTCGAGTGAGGATTAGTTGTGCATGTAAGCTAGATAAGTGTCCGACCACAGAAAAATTTCTATTGTGTTAAATTACCTATTGTTAATCAACTTAATTTATTGTTTATGCTTGACTGTCATTTTGGTGAATAGTGCAATATATGATCATAAGTACTATGGTTAAAATTCAGTTGTAGCATATATTTTTGTAATTATATATTATGTATTCATACTTGTGGCTTTGGTGTTTATGATTTAATTTTCATAGCTTATAAAGTTAAGTGGATCAAAGACAAAGCTCACTAGCTAATCACTTGCTTATTGATTCTATCATTTTTTAACCTACAACTAAGGTTCATTTGTGTGGTGTGCTTAGTTTATATATTTGACTGTTAATTAATTAGTTTCCATGTATCTTATTGTGAGTTTAAATTTGTAGGATTTCAAAAGAAATTCAAAGTATTTATGCAAATCCAATACAAAAGTGCCTTTGACTCATCATTTCTGCTCATCATTTGTTCATCAATAGGTTAAATTCCAATCGGAGTTTAAGACTGTTGACTGAATACTATGGTTTATAATTAGCCTAATAAAGCAGTGTTACTTCATTGTAGTGCTATGAACCTCAAGTAAACACAAGGGCCCGGATAGAGCCCGGGAACCTAAACCTAAGGCAAGAAAAAAAGACAATGGTTGATACCTATGATGTAATATCATTAGCAAACTGTTACATGCGTACCTGATGAGTGCGTCCAGTTTCCAGCCTCCACTGCACCAGTGCAGATCCACCCGCAGCAAAAACTTCCACTACTTTATACCTAGTAAAGTTAGAGAAAACCAGTCAGATGTTCCCAGGTCTTATATATATATATATATATATATATATATAAAAAGTGAATATATATATATATATATATATAAAGTGAAATATTGCAAACCAAACCCCTTAGCCACCGATCCATTTAATAAGCACAGGCTCCCAAAGCCCAACCTAAATCAATCCACTCCACGAGACCAACTCATTATCATTAGTTTTATCCCAACCATCCTGGGTTCAGCGTCATGAAAAAGATCAACTAGCATAGAACATGAAAAGAAAGCAAGGAGGATAAAGAAACGTAGAGGTAGGAATGGCAGGAAGATGGAATTAGAGACGGGAAATAGAAAAGAACTGCTTCCATTCACAAGCATATTGCATGATGACATGAGCGAATAACCGACACTCTAGCATTTTATGGCTCGTTTTTGTTTTCATTACATTTTTGGTCTCCCGTTCACAAACTATCTCAATCCCTCTTTGAAATTGATAGGTGAGGTACTGACTGCTCGAAGTTAGTTCATTGTCACCTTGAAATTGATAAATTGCCCTGCTAATTCCAAAGCATTTTGAACTAGAAACCTGTACTCCCTCCCTCACCGACAACACCCTTTTTTTTTAGAACAGGTCTAAGGAAAACATGAATGTGGTTTGAGTTGGGTGTCTCTTCAGGTGCATAGGTAACTATCACCTTAAATATAACTCTGGCACAAAAGACTTGTATGGTTATTAATGACTCCCAAAGCATTTATTGACAACTTGTTAATATTAGCAGCTTATCAGAGACCAAGCTGGGTGGTATTTTTTCTTGATCAATTTGCATTAGGAACAAAAAAAGGAAATCACATGTGGAACATCAATCACCTACTGGAAGCATTTCGAGCATTTCTGCTGCTATTGATCCCTGAAACAGTAGCCATGCGGGTTCTGTTGTTGCAATCACGAACTATCGGGATCGCAATCCGTCCAGAACTTGGAGATGGGACTCCAGATACAAGGCTAACATATTGTCTATGGATAGTATGAAGCTTGAACTGCTTAGCCAAATGGGCATGAGAATGCTCGTCCTATCATCAAGATTAAAAGAAGTTGCAGCCCCCATTATATCCCAAATGACATTTTAAAGTAAGAACGTTACAATAATTAGCAAAGATAAAAAGAATATGCTCAGATACAATATGCATCGCAAGTCATTCATAAGGACAGCATATAATGCAATTTATGAAACTAGAATTTTGGTCACTTTTCAAAATGAAACCAAAAAATTTTACATAGAAGAAAATAATAAAAAAATGATCAAAATCGCATCCTCTTTTTGCTAAAGCATAATCCAATGTGGCTAATAATTGCTGTAGAAAGGGACTCATAACATTAATGAACATTATAAAGAGAGTTAACAACAAAATTGTAGTTGTCAACACTATCTACATGATCATCCTTTTTTCAGTAAACATAGGTTGGCAAGTATATTTTTAGTCATATGCTACAGGACAATGACAAATTTAGCATTGCGCTGTAATCTAGAAAAGGAAAACCTTCACACAGATACTTGCAAGATTTTTTATTTGCCTACTCTTAAGCTCTCTTTACCAACTTACAAAGTTCACATCAACAACGTCTCCATTCATGAAATCATTTTTTTAAAGCATAAAATTGAATAAGTCTACCATAACAAACATTATCAAATCAATAACTCAGCTTATAATCATTACACTATCAACTACAAAATTCTGAATTCTTTCTGAAATTGGGATCCTCCCAATTAAAATAAAAATGGAAAAGTTTATTGGATTACATACCATGCAAGTATATGTAAAATGATTAACTCTACAATGCTCAAAAGAGCCCAAACGAAATCTCTAAGTCATTGAATTGATCTCACATCTATAAACATACTACATGTCATCAATCCAACGATCCTAGAGACTTACTTTGAATTGTGAATTAGGCAGCAAACCATTTTTTATGTAAAATATCATAGTCTGAAGCCCCTCAAATGAATAAAATAGGAAAGCAGTTAGAGGGGAGTCTAAGATCTCCAATTCAAAACTATAACAAGGAATAGAGGGAGGAAAAAACATAACTTAGGAGTAAAAATTTATGGAACTTGAGTGACAACAACTATATTCTACAGGTCTAGTTGGCACGGAGGTTAGATGAAAATGAAACAGTCGAGAGTTGATGATGAAGGTGGATGAGCTGTGGAATGAATAAACAAGTGAAATAAATTGGGTAGGCATGAGGCTGATGATGAGAACAAAAGAACGTAATTCCCAAAGTACCACTCTTCTGTATCAAACATGGTACTGATCAAGTTGCATGCCCCCTGCTTCCTCAAATCCATAGATATGGAGAAGAACAAGTGAGTTATTGTAAAAATGATAAAAAGGATAACTAAAGCTACCATTATATTGAATTACTAGCCCAGACACAGGCTTGCTTTCATGAAGTTGACTAGCTCTTGTAAACATTCATCTTTGAAATTAAATGGCCAAGTTTGTGATGCTCATAAAATTACTCAGGCAGTTTTATAAGCTTATCTATTCACTCATATGAAAAGTAGAATATAAACATCTGGATGCCCATGTATTCCTATTAGCATGAGCATCCAAGTGAAATCGTCTCCACAGATATTTGGCTGTGGATATTTATAAAATAAAACTAACCTTAGCTACAACAAGCAGACCACTGGTACCTTTGTCCAATCTATGTACAATGCCTGGTCGAACAAGCTCATCACTGCTGCTCGTTTTGAGCTCCTCATAAGAATGACCAACATAAAAGTCACCAACCTCATTTTCTGATGAGTCTGTATTGTCAGTTTCAGATGAACCTTTTCTGTTTATGCACGCACCTGCTGGAAGCTGACAATGATTAAGTATAGCATTCACTAACGTGCCATTAGCATTTCCAGGAGCAGGGTGCACCACCTAGCAACAACCAGCAGGTAAATAATCGAGGAAAAGGTGAAATGTTAAGGCATGTTATCAAATACTACATCTGGAAGTGAAACTTTGTTTGAGTAACCAGCCATTATTATATTTAGGATGAAATCCATGCAACTAAAATAGGAAATAGCAACTATCGGATGCATATTTCTTTTCAAATATCGCAAGTTCATGCTCACACATTCATAAGATTAAGAGTACAGGTTATACAAATTGAAAAGTAAAATTGCGTCATTATAGCAGATTGCTCACAAGTTCCAATCAGAAGCATTAATTCAACACAAAATGCTCCACGTGTAGGCTAGAAATTCTTAGTATTGAATAAGCAACAAGAAAAAGGAGCTGTATTAACAAGGATAACCAGTAGATGCTTATGTTGTTTTTCTTTTGAAATACTTGTACATATCAATACTGAAATTATGAATACACAAAGAAAAGCAGGATCATTGCCGCTGCCAACAAGCTCCTGCTAAGGCAACCTAAAAACACAAAAGGTTTGAGACCCCTAGACAAAAAAAGCTCACTGGCTTTGGTTTTGAATTAATGTCAGTGCCAACAAGAGGCAAGAGTCAGTCAAAGCAAGCTTGTGACCAACCTCCAATGATGCAATTCTGTTGTTGTCAATCTGTCCATGGCCAAGCTTACCATTTTGAGCAAGCTCATTGCAATCCCATCGCTGTGATAAGCTCCCTACAAGGAACTTGTGGCGCCCAATCAGCTCTTATCTCCATTTTTTTTACAACTTTGGATGTTGTTAAGTGAAATATTTGAGTAGGGCAACCATCCTTGAGGTGTAGGTGAGGATGGAAGGGTGAGGGAGACTTTTGGAGTGGTGACAGTGAGGTGGAATTAAGAGAAGGGTAATGCAAGGAAGGCCAAGAGGTGAGTGTCTTGAGGAATTAATTTGGGGAACTAAGGAAGGTGGAGAACCTAGTGAAGGGTGTCTTAGGATGTGTAGAAGAAGTGGTAAGGTAAAGTAGAGGTTCTGGGCAGTCAGCTAGGGTGTTGGATATGAAAAGTGGGCTACCATGAAAACATAAGCATGACAATAGAAGGAATATTATGATACAAAGAACTATAACATGAACATACATATGATATTTCTAAGTAAATTCACTGAAGAAAAAAGCGACCAAGCTTCACATTTCATTGCATACAAACACCACCTTACATAATTTCAACCCAGCATAATAATATAATACAACTCACTCCATTTTTATAAGAATTAAAATGCACATTATTAAATAATTTCACAGAGGAAAAATGAAGGTCTAGAATCTTCAAGATTTTATTGCATAATTAATTGTTCCATTGCTTAATTAAAAAGTTATATGATTGTAGAGCATCCAAAAGCTTCCTTCCTTGCATTTGACTCTTAATGGAAGGGGGAAAAGAGATTTGGATGTCCTACCATGCTTTTAAATATATAAAATTAAATTATACCCACATGTAAAGAGAGTTGTTCCAAAATATTATTTTTTTATGATCAATATTTTTCGTTATTGCTCCACTTTAATTGAAGATGTTGATGGCACATTATCTCCATAAAAGAAACATGTATTTTCATACTTGCATGATGAAATCAAGATTAAATTATTTCCAGATTTCAATGATGATCATGATGATAATCAACTTCTTCCATGATAATTGTAACAGCATAATAATGTCCAAAAGAGAATTTTTTTTAATAAAATGTTGATGAGTTTATTCTTCCCATAAATGAATTGTGATTAAATTTTTTAAATGTTTGCAGTTTAATGATCAACTCCTTACATGATGATGACTCTACTCGCAAGATATCCTAAATCTTGTCATATAGAATGGATTTTTTTGGAAAAAATCATATTTCTGCTATGAAAATTAAAATATAAGTCGTGATCTTCTTATTCTATACCATACTCCACCAGTTTTCAATAAACTGTGCTCAATTTCTAAAAGGCTTGTTTAGATTGACTAGCATTTCTTGCATGACAACAAAAAAATAAATGAAAATTTTAACAAAACACCTTATTTGGGGTAGCTTTAGCACTGCTTTGATTTTCAAACCACAGCTACACTTTCATCTAGCATTAGCTTTTTTTATGCTTTTTCAGAAATTTTTATGGTGAGAAGTTACTTTTTACCATCAGATATACTAATATATGATAATTGTAATAAATTTGATATCCGACTTTTTCAAAAAAATAATATATTAATAACATCCATAATTTCAAAAATATTATTTTTCTCATAAAAACTTTACAAAAAATTGCAGCCTCCCAAATGGGATAACTATCATTAACTAAACAACAAAAAATCAAATTATTCACCCTAAGGTCACTTTCAAAAAGGATTAAAAACCATCAAAGACTCAGCACTAGAAAAGCACCAACTCAGAAACTTCTCGTGGGATTGAAGAGAAACAAAATCAACCAAGCTCAAAATTTCTTTATAGGATTGAAGCGAAACAAAAAACAAGAAAATTTATAGAAGGCCTAAAAAAACTCTAAAAAATCATAACAAAGTTAAACTTATTTTCCCAAAATATTCCAAAAAGGGTTGGCACTTACAAAAAAATTTACGCAAGATGGCCACCATGCCAAACGCTTCGTAGGACTGATGGTAAAAAAAATTTTAGAAGTTTGTGTAAAGAAAAGAGCCATGAGGGGAATTTGGAAGCACAACTAATGGCATAAATAATATTACAATGAAATGGAGAAAACACCAAATTTCACCTAACATGTAATAGACATTCAATTTTTAATTCTGAAGCCAAAAAATGGAGGTGAAAGATAGCCTACTCATGATAAAATAAAAATAGCAAGAAAAGGAATGTTATTGATCAAAGAAGAGCAGTCACATGAAGATACAAATAATATTTTTTGTCATGCTCACAAAATTATCCTGATAAGAGGAAGCCACCAGGCTTCGTTTGTCATTGTATAAAAACAACATTTTTTATGATTTCAACCAACATGACATTCTAATACAACTCATTCCATATTTCTAAGCACTTAAATACTCATTTTTACATAATTTCATGAAGAAAAAAATATAGATCTTCAAGATTTGATTGCATAATTAATTTCTGCCTTGCAAAACATCCAAAACATCCATCTTTACATTCGAGCCTTATTTGAAGGTGGAGAGAGAGGAATGTATGTCACACCATACTTCTAAATATGTAAAATTAGTTCATGCCCATATGGAAGGAGAGTGTTTCCATAATATTGCTTCAATGATGATAATTTTTTTCTTAATTTCTCCACCATTAAATGAAGATGTTTATGGCACATTTTTTCATAAAGGAAATAACATTTATTTACATATTTGCATAATAAAATACGAGTTAAATTGTTTTCACATTTAAGTAAATATCATGCTGATAATCTACTTCTTTCTTAATGGTGATGGCAACATATAAATTTTCAAAAAATGTCATTGTTAAGAGTCAAAATTTCATTTACATCTAAGAAGAAAATATCATTTCTAATATTCTTGAACCAAGTCTTTTAGGTATACCTCTACCTTTTTTAACATAGGTCAAATCTAATACATCTACTCTTCTAACTGGGTCATTGGAAAGCTAACGTTTTATATGCCCAAACCATCTAAGGAGAGTCCCTCTAATCTTATCTGCCACTGGAGCTAATCCAATCTTTTCATATATATACTTGTTTCACATTCAATCTCTAAGAGTGAATCCACTCATCCACCTAAGCATCCTCATCTCTGCAATACCTAATTTACTTTTATGCTTCTTTTTTACTGTCCAACATTCACGCCATAAAGCTTTGCAAGTCTCACGATCATCTTATAGAATTTTCCCATATGTTTGAAGGATACTTTTCTATCACACAACATGCCCGGTGCATTCCTCCACCTCAACCATCTAACTTGAATTCTACCAATAATATCCGAATCTATTTCACCATCACTTTGAACAGTAGACCTGGGATATCAAAAATGTGTACTCTTATTAATGGCTTGATCAACCAAAATCACAATCCCCCACTAGATCTAATACTACTTAAATTACATCCCATGTATTTGGTTTTAGATCTACTCAAACAAAAACATTTAGACTCTAAGGTTGACTTTCATAATTCAAGTTTTTTCTTCAACTCCCTCTCTAGTCTTATCAACAAGAAGAAAATAATTAGCAAAAAGTATACACCATAGTACGTCTGGTAAGAACACCAAGACTAAAGCAAAAAATATCGACTTAAAACTAATCATTGATGTAATCCAAATGTAATCCACCTGAAATAGGAAAATACTTGGTCAAATCACCTTATGTTTGAACACAAGTAAAAGCTCCTATTAGGGGTGCAAACAAGTCAAGCCGGCTAGCTAGCTGACTTGGGCTAGACTTAATAACGAGCTCACAAGTCGAGCTTATTGAGCTTCGAGCTCAAGTTCGAGCACTTTGTCGAGCTCGTGAAATAATCAAGCCCGAGTTCAAGCAAATAGCGGATCAGCTTGATCTGCGCAGGCGTAAGCAGAATAGCGGGTGTGCGGGACTCACTACACGTCGAAATCGAATGAAGCGGGCGATGTGAAACAACTAAGTGGTAGATTAATTACTTCGAGGTTTACATAAGGAACAACCGCACGCTATTAGCGAAGGGCAAGGGAGAAGGCCGTAGGGGCGTGCAACTAGCCGCTCCATCTCCCATTTAGTTTCAGTGAGGAAGGGCATATCTGAAGGCTATCTACATCTTCATTCCAGCGAGTACCAAGGAAGGTAAAAATCCCTAAACCTAGGGCTTTTTATTTCCTTCGCCCGCCATCTTCGTTCCAGCAATTACCAGATTTTTGTGAACTTTAACTTGTTTTTTATACAATCTTCATTTCTTATTCCTTAACAAAGAGCCATAAGCTTATTCTACCCATATTTTTCAACAATAACAATGACAAACCGCACCAATTTGTTGAGAAGGATTTGCTCGTTCTTCTTTTTCCTCAAAGTAAATTTCTCAAGTGAGAATTGCTTTCATTTC